ATAACTTTTTGTTACAAACTCTAGTTAGTGCAAAACTTACAAAACTAAACTTATACTTATTTCTTTCCATGCATTATTTAAAAGATTTAGAATATAAATGCTTATATGAATATTTGTTTCAATTGACCCTATAGATTCTACAAACTAGGGATGATAATCGTAACTCCCTCTTGGAAACTCTAAATCTTATAAAACTTAATTCATCTTAAATTAGAGTGATATAGTTTCAAATGGCATCTTTCTTAAATAAATTAAGTATAATTAATTATTCAAATAATTTATGCAATGTGCTTCATATATTTTGTCCTCATAATTTTTGTCATTCTATCTATTCTTATTTCTTTCTCTTTGAAATTGAATTCAGCTAGAGTTCTTTCACCGATTGAGCGTGATATGATTACTTTAAATACTTGTTACTTTTGTTCTTAATTTTTATTATATTTAAATATATTATATGAAAGTTAATATTTATATCGTATTATTTTATATAGACACATGTATATTTTTGTTGTTTCACATGTGGTTTCTATACATATTAAAAGTTCTTACACACAATGTCCTTTTGTACTCTACTATTTATAGAATAATATAAATTTTTATTAGAAAAATGAGAAAGTGAGTTATGTTTAGAGGCCACTATGCTCTTATAGGCCTCTTATGACTTTATCCAAATGTGAGTTGATGGAACTCTCAAACATGGGAGACTTATGTTAATGGTCATCCAAAACTGGATGGACCATCTTATGTTATGATCCAACTTTATAGTTAGTGTTTTTTGATATGTTATCCAAAGTATTATTTATATGTTTCTATGTATCTTTTGGATAAGAAAATGAATGCAATATCAAATATGATACTTGAGCTTATGTTTCTTATTTGATTTGCTCTTAAATGTTTGTTACGTCATTGATATGCTCCTAAATGTTCTTACGCTATTGATATGTATTTAAATATTTCATACGCCATTGATATGCCCCGAAATATTTCTTACATTATTGATATGCTCCTAAATATTTCTTACGACATTTATATGCACCTAAATGTTTCTTATGTCATTGATATACTCCAAAATATTATTTACTCCATTGTTATGAATAAAGTATACTTCTAATAAAATGACATTTACGATTTTGTATCTAATGAAATAATATCTATGAATTCTTATATTCTTGCCTTGCATCTTGATAATAATAGCTCATCCTATTGTTATATAAATTTTTTATATATATAAGTTTTGTAGCTCACCTTGACATTCACTAGAATATTAGAATTGGGTTGAGGCAATATTATATTATAATATTTTAATTTTGAACTTTAATATTGTGATGCTAACAGAAGAAAACCATTACGGAGATGACTACGGATCAACTAGGGTGCCTCAATAAGTATATTGTCAAACATCATCCATTTGCTTTGTTTTTGCATGTTTTTGTTTGAAAATTATGAATAGGAATAATTCATACAACTACAAAATGATTACTCACTAAAATAGGTAAAACTATCCAAAATGACCTAGTTTTTATACATCATGACTTATTTTCTATAGGATATAGTGCGATATAAAATATCAATCATCTCAGTACCCTAGAATCACATGGGTGACACAGGACTTGATAAGGGTATGAGGTAGTGCTAAAAGGATCTCTGAGCTCTTATTCTAATAAAACATTTGCGAGTAGTCATTATTAAGATATCTTATTGACAAGCAAACCATTATAACAAAATTGATTATCATAAAACATATGTTATTCTATCATACAACAGTTTAACATAAGTTGTAACTTAGTGATATGGTAATGTAATAACAAAAACACTATAATCAGTGAAGAAAACACTATAAAGAGTATTAAAGAGCCATGAAAAAGTGTAAATCATCTAAATGACTCCTAACCTTAGCCAATATAAACTACAAGCATGTACAGTGTATTTGAATAGCTAAATATTTTGGACATCTCACTAAAACCATTATAAAGAGTTTAGAAAAATATTATATATCACCCTAGTGACATCTAACCTAAGACAAAACAAACTAAAAGTCTGTATAATATATTTGAATAGCTATACAGTGTTTTTGAAAAGTTATACAATGTTTTGGATATTTCACCAAAAATAGTGTAATGAGTTAAGGAAAATATTGTAAATCACCCTCTACCCTCAGTCAAAATATACTAAAAGTCCGTACAATTGATTGGAATAGCTATACAGTATTTTTGAAAAGCTATATAATATTTTGGACATCTCACCAAAAACACTATAAAGAGTTAAATGAATACACTGTAAATCACCTTAATGATTTTGAACCTCAGTCAAAATAAACTAAAATCCTGTTCAAAGTATTTAAATAGCTATATAGTATTTTTTTTATATTGTTTTTGAATAACTATATAATATTTTTGAATAGCTATATAGTGTTTTGAATACGTCACCAAAAATAATATAAAGAGTTACATAAAATATTGTAAATCACTCTAATGACTCTGAACCTCAGTCAAAACATAATATATTTAAATATATAATATTTTTTAATAGTTATATAATATTTTTAAATAGTTATATAGTGTTTTGAATAGTTATACAGTGTTTTGGACACCTCACTAAAAACATTGTAAAGTGATGAGGGAAACATTATAAATCACTCTAATGACTCCTAACTTCAACTAAAACAAACTAAAAGTCTGTACATTATATTTGAATAGCTATATATTATTTTTTAATCACTATATAATGTTTTGGACACCTCACAAAAACACTATAAAGAGTTAAGAAAAATAGTATAAATCATCGAATGACTCCTAATATCAGCCAAAACACAATAAAAGCCAAAAGGATGTATTTGAATAGCTATACAATATATTTAAAGAGCTATATAGTATATTTAAATAGCTATACAATGTTTTGAACACCTCGTCAAAAACACTATAAAGAGTCAAGGAAAACATTATAAATCGCCCTAATAACACCAAACGCTAGCTAAAACAAATTAAAGGCCTGTAGAGTATATTTGAATGGCTATATTTTTTTTAATAGCTATATAGTGTTTTTTAATAGCTAACTATAGACCCCGTAAAGTGTTAAGGAAAACATTGTAAATCACCCTAATAACTCACAATCTCTGTCAAAACAATCAACTAGCTTGTACAGTGTATTGAAATAATTATACAATACTTTTTAATTGATTTATAGTATTTTTTTAATTGCTATATAGTGTTTTGGATACATCAACAAAAACACTATAAAGACTGAATCAAAACATCATATTTCACCATAATGACTCCAAACCTCAATCAATACAAATTAGAAGCCTACAAATTTGATGTTCAAATACTCTACAACCAACGATATATTAAGAGGCAAAAGATCACTAGAGATATATTATTTTTTTAATAATTATACAAAGTTTTGTTCATGATAATAAAAAATACTATAAATCATCCTATTGACTCCTACCCTCAACCAAAACAAACTAAGACTACAAATTAGTATTGTCATGTTCTACGACCATTGATATTATAATATCACGCTATCACTAGCTTTACGATGGTCTTTAAATAACTAGTAATGTTTTGCCAATGACAAACAAAATACTATTAATCACCCAAATTACTCGTACCATCAACTAAATCAAATAAAAGCCTACCATGTGGTACCATGATGTTACATTAGCAACTATATCATAAGACACAAGATCATGTCATTTACAGTGTATATATATATATATATATATATATTTATATATATATTCCGTTGTGACAATAATAACACTATAAACACTACAAAAGTTTATAAACTAACCAAATTACTACTAACGTCTGACAATGCCAACACAATGGGGGAGATGCACATTACCTATGAAATCAATGGGAATAGGAACACAAACAGCCAACACAATGTTTCACCACTGGTAGAATCAAACAATATTCGATCAAGTGTTCTTAAAAAAGGCAAAGGTTATTTTAGGGTATTTTCACACTGATCTATAGTTTTTTCACATCCAACGACAGGAATATAGAGGCTCTCGGAGATTAGAGTTTCGAGGACTTTACAGTTTTAGGCATTAGAAGATAGGAAGGGGAGTTAGGGTTTATGGGTTTTTTGGATTTTGGGAGAGAGAGAGAGAGAGAGAGAGAGAGAGAGAATTTAGGCTATCGTTGGAGAGGGAAAACCTAAGAAAAATGATAAATAAACCTAAACAAAACAAACTATGATACTAGAGCTCCTTTGACAAGAGAGGAGAAATGCCTGTTTGATTTCCTCCATCGAGAGAAGAGGAGATGAGAGTCAGTTTCGTTGAAAATGATCGATATAACTTTGACCATTTATATTTCAGTTAAGAGGATCTCTGAGCTCTTATTCTAGTAAAACATTTGCGAGTAGCCATTATTAAGAAATCTTACTGACAAACAAACCATTATAACAAAATTGATTATCATAAAACATATGTTATTCTAAAATACAACAGTTTAACAGACAAATGACCCATCAATCGCGGTCGGAGAAACCTTTAACGAGCACTTCAACTATTGCAGCCACACTTTACTTTTGGCTTTTTGTGGACAAAGCACCCGTGAGCTGTGTCCAAAATTGTCCATCCAATTTCACGGCCGTCCATTTGGAGCATCGCGTGCGTCTTCTTTTTGTGACTGATGTCTTAACAAAGGCATCGCAAATTTCATGGCCGTCCATTTGAAACGCTACGCAAATTATTATGTTTATTACTGTACCGAGGGACTCGTGCGTTAAATCTGTCTTTAGGTCAAGATCACAATCCAGGTCATGTCACCTATTGATTGACCGAACACGTATCCCTTATCCAAATCCAGTCTTCTCAACTCTTCTAGCATATCCGTCTCTTTTTTTTATTATTTTTGGATGAATTTAAATCAAAACAGATACAAAATAACACGCTGAGACAATGTGACAGGCCAGTCTCTGGAAAGCATTAATTCGCGCATCCACAGACGTCGTCAGCTTCATCACCCACTTTTTCCTATATAACCATGTCGCATGGCTTTGTTGATGACAGACCACCACAAGCTTGCCTTTGGTTGTGCCTAACTGGGAGAGAGAGAGAGACAGACCGATAGCCTCCTCATTCACTATGGCGATCCGATCGCCAGCTTCGCTGCTGTTATTTGCGTTTCTGATGCTTGCGCTCACAGGAAGACTGCAGGCCGGGCGCAGCTCGTGCATTGGCGTCTACTGGGGACAAAACACAGACGAGGGAAGCTTAGCAGATGCTTGTGCCACAGGCAACTACGAATACGTGAACATCGCCACCCTTTTCAAGTTTGGCATGGGCCAAACTCCAGAGATCAACCTCGCCGGCCACTGTGACCCTCGGAACAACGGCTGCGCGCGCTTAAGCAGCGAAATCCAGTCCTGCCAGGAG